CATCCCATGGTGGCAGCTGACTTGGCAACATATTCCATTGTACTGGTTTTGCAGGATGAAACATATAAGATAGAAGAGATCATGATATCTTATTCCAGTTATAGAGAGCTGCCGAGGACAGGCAATGTATGACAGTCAGAATCCCAGCAAAGACAGAAGAGTCCACTGCATGAAGTTGTGAAGATTAAGCCTAAGTTTTAGTGAAGACCTAAGGATGATGGAGATGCCAGAACCTCAGAGACATTTGGGGGGAAAGCTGTACACATAAAGTAGAGTTGGAGGGGGCTACCTAAGTTCTTTGAAGCCCAAATTATTCCATCCAGAGTTCTAAATGCTAGGCATTTGGTGTTTGCTTGCTTTTGGTCTCTTGGGGAGTAGGGATGTTTTACTGTGTCATTGTATTAGAATTATGGAACAGAGAGTTCCATAATTGAGAGAGGGAGAGAGAGAGGCTGACTTGGACTTGGAACTCACTATATAGACCAGGCTGGCCATGAACTCAGATTTACCTTCCTCTGTCTCCTGAGTGCTAGGGTTAAAGGCATATGTTACCACTCAGGGGATTTTTTTTTTTTTTTTAGTTTTATAGGAAGAATTAAGAGAATGCCTTGAGTCTCACATGACTTTGAAACAGTGTTGGAGGGCCAGAAAGAGGGGTCGGCAGGCTCTTGTCCTCATGCCTGATGATCTTTGTTCAATTCTGAGAATCTACATGATCGAAGGAGACAGCCAACTCCTACAGATTGTCCTCAACCTCCACGTGCAGTGACACTCATGCCTGCACATAAACGTGCATGAACACACACACTAAATAATGTAAAATTAGAAAGTGTTGGAAATGTTAAGGACTTTTGAAGTTGGCCTGAATTGATTTTCGCATTAAGAGATGGCCATGAGCTTATGTGGACAAAGCTGTGGCTTAAAAGTGACCCCTTTGAGGCCTAGTGAGATGGCTCAGCTCACCGAGATGATTGTATACAGGCATGATACCCTGAGTTTGGGCCCAAGATCTCACTAGGTAGCAGGAGAAAACCAACTCCCAAGAGCGGTCCTCTGATTATGTGTGCTGTGGTACACAAACATCTGTAAGCATTTTTAAAAGTGCTGTGTTTGCTGGGCATGGTGGTTCACTCCTTTAATCACAGCACTTAAAGGCAGAGGCAGGCGGATCTCTGAATTCAAGGCCAGCTTGTTCTACAGTGTAAGTCCCAGGCTAGCTAAGGCACATAGTGAGATCTGTGTCAAAAAAAAAAAATAACAACAAAACCCCAAGCATACAAACGAACAAACAAATAAAACCCAAATGACAAAAACACCCAACAGAAAGGCCCTCCCAAACAAAAAGTGTTACCTTCTAGGTGTCAAGTAGACAAGGGGTGAACTTATGGATAATATTGTCAACAACATGGTATCTACATCAGGACAAATTTCTGGGCAACTGAGGGATTATACAGAGTAGGTTATTTGAGGTTGAAAGATCCACCGTGAATATGGGTGGCATCATTCCCAGGGCTGAATCCTGTACTTGGTAAAAAAGAAGAAAGCTCAGCACCAGCATTTGTTGCTGTCTCCTTGAGCACCCCACCAGCAAACCCATGCTTATTCTGACCCCTTCCCTGATATATTTGCCTTTCCCTTAAACTGTAAGCTACAATAAACTCTTAGGTTGCTTTGATCAGATATTTTGTTTTAGCAGTATTAATATACCAATCAACTTATAAAAATATAAAACCAAACCAAATCACCTCCACCCTTTCCACAGACCAAAAGTTTGAGAGATATATTGGAGTTCTAGGCAACGTGGCTGCTAGCAAACATGGTGTGACCAAATGTCTACTGATTCTCAGTTTACCCAAAGATGACCGGCCATTCAACTACTGACTGTATCACAGTAGTCCGAGAAAAACCAGACGATTAGGGCAAGTACATGGAGGGGAACGATGGAAGTCATTTTGTTTGTGGTATAGTTGAGACCACTCAGTAAGTATTCCCTATGATATGGTCTGATTCCTGGCCACTGGTCTGCTGTCCTGCTAGCCATAGACATTTAACTTGATAAACAAGACTGCAGTCCTTGGAATGTGTGCTAGTTTTATGTCTACTTGATACAAAGTATAGTCACCAGAGAGGAGGGAACTTCAATAGAGAAAATGACTCTATTGTCATGAGATCTGGCTATATATAAACCCGCAGGGCATTTTCTTAATTAGTGATCAATGGGGAAGGGCTCCACCCATTGTGGGTGGCGCACCTCCTTGGCTGGGGGTCCTGGGTTCTCTAAGTAAGCAAGCTGCACAAGCCATGAGGAGCAAGCCAGCAAGGGGCACCCTCTACGGCCTCTGCACCAGCAACTACCTCTTGGCCTTTTGTCACAGCTATAGAAACCCTAGGACAGAATGTAATTGTGACTTTTAAAAGCAGTTTCTGTGGACATCGTATAAAAGTGGGTGTGCACGTGCTATACCAGCATGGGATTGTCAGAGGGCAGCCGCAGACGTTCCTCCTTGTGTTTTGAGACAGGGACTTTGTTACAGTTTCCACTGTGTACTCCATACTGTGTACTTTGTGATAGCTGGTTCTTGAGCTTCTGAAGGATCCCTGTGTAGCCAGGCTTTCTTTGGATCATCAGCTTTTGAATGACACCGACATTTATTATTAAGTATGAAAGCTTGGCCTTTGCTTAGGCTTGCTCCTAACTAGTTCTTTTTTTCTTTTCTTTCTTTCTTTTTTTTTTTTTCCGAGACAGGGTTTCTCTGTGTAGCTTTGGAGCCTATCCTGGCACTTGCTCTGAAGCCCGGGGTGGCCTTGACCCCCCAGACCCCCGCCTGCCTCTGCCTCCCGAGTGCTGGGATTAAAGGCGTGCACCACCAACGCCCGGCCCCAACTAGTTTTTCAAACTTAAACTAACCCATTTATATTAATCGACATTTTGCCTCGTGGCTCACTACCTCTCCTCCATACTGTACTTCCTCCAAGTCTTGCTGGCAACTCTTGCCTTTTCTCAGAGTTCCTATCACTTCCCATAAGTCCCACCTATCCTCTCCTGCCTAGCCATTGGCTGTGAAGCTTTTTATTAAACCAATCAGAAGGTGACTTGGCAGACACATCATCAGTATACAAAAAAAGATTATCCCACAACATTCCTGACTCTGCCTCCCATTTTACCGTAAGAACACTGTGATTATGGTGTCTGGTTTACATTGGTTCTGTATACAATCACCATGTATACAAGGCAATCACTTTATCTACTGAGCTCCATCAAGCCAGTACTTACTGTGGGTTTTTGTTTGTTTGTTTGTTCTTGTTTTTTAAGTTGCTTCAGGGCCCACAAGATGGCTCAGGGGATAGAAGTACATGCTGTCCAAGACTGACTACCCACATGGAGGAAGGAGAAAACTGATGCTCAGCAGTGTCCTCCAATCTCTGCATGTACACCACGGCATGCATATGCCATTGCTGACATATACCAAACACAGAACACACATATAATAAAATGTTTTAGAGAACACTGGATTGTGACCTCTGGAGTTAGTATCTAGCTTTATAAAACTCCCATCTAAAAACATTTTATGATTAAAGTTTTTATTCCAATGAATAAAGGATTAAGTCTCAAAAAGCGGGCCAGAGAGATGGCTCAGCAGTTAAGAGCACTGACCATTCTTCCAGAAGTCCTGAGTTCAATTCCTGGCAACCACATGGTGGCTCACAACCATCTGTAATGTGATCTGGTGCCCTCTGCTGGCATGCAGGCAGAAGACTGTATACATAATAAATAAAATCTTAAAAAAAAAAAAAAGGAAAATCAACTTTAAAAAAAGGGGGGGGGGGCTGGAGAGATGGCTCAGGGGTTAAGAGCACTGACTATTCTTCCAGAGGTTCTGAGTTCAATTCCCAGCAACCACACAGTGGCTCACAACCATCTGTAATGTGATCTGGTGCCCTCTTCTGGCATGCATTGTATACATGATAAATAAATCTTTAAAAAAAAAAAAGACTCAAAAAGCTGTGGGTACCTTATAAATGTCATCATTAACTATAACTAACAGTTTATTCCCTGTTCTTTTAAGTAGCTGTTCAATCTTAGAATCTGACCTGTGTTCACAGTTAAGTCCAAATAAAAGAATCTAAGAAAAAATAATTTGTGTATGATGTGTAGGTGTGAGCACACACTGGCCATGTGTGTGTGATCAATGGATGGTCGTGTGGAGTTGGTTGTGTCCTTCCTGGAGCTCACCAGGCTTACGCAGCAAGCACTTCTACCCACTAAGCCACAATGCTGGCTCATGCAATTTTTTCTTTTGACAGTCTCTCTGTGTAGCCCTGGCTGTTCTGGAACTCATTCTATAGACCAGGCTGGCCTTGAACTCAGAGATCCTCCTGCCTCTGCTTCTATGCTGGCATTAAAGGCATGCACTACCACTGCCCAGCATCTTTTATTTTCTTTACATAAAAATTAGTATTATTCTAGAGCTATTTCAAGGAGGTTAGGTCCACTCTCCTCCCTGGTACTGCACACCAAGGATCACAGGATCAAGTATCTGAATGCTACAGACCTTGGATTTTTAGGACGGTGTCTCTAGTATTTGTATTGTTGCAGTTTTTACAACCAATCCTTTCAAATGACATGTGAATACTAGTATTTTCATATGTATCAAAACTGTCAGGGCTAGTGAGATGGTTGGCAGCCTCCCCCTCCCTCCCCAATCTTGAGGTATTTGCTAGTGTTCTCTGAAGCATGCAGGGCTCTGGTAGCTCAGATCTTAGACCCCCTACCTTGGAGAGCAGACTCAAGGATTCAGAGAAAGGAACAGAACCTGGACACCAGCTGAGGTCATTTTAACAGTAACCAACTCCTACTGAATCTCCTGTGCAACCTTACACTCTCCTTAAATGTGACTTGCATGTGGCACATTCCAGTGTGCTCTCTACCAGAGACCACATGTCACCATCAGACGCTCAATGTGATAAATGTGGCTTCATTATCATTAATGACACATGCCTCAGAGTAGGAAATTTTATTCTTTAAAAGCCATTATTTAGAGGAAAAGGAACAAAAACCACAGTTGGTAATCACAGCAGCCATGATCAGAACAGCACATGCTATTAGGAAAACAGTCATCTGAGATGCTCCTTGCTGGATAGGCATCCATGATGAACGAACACGGCACAGGGCAAGCAAGTTCTAATGAGCAGGACTTCAGATTCTCAAGTTGCTCTAGACAATTTTATTTCTTACAATGGAGATGGTAAAGTAATTTGATTATATTTTTTTTCAGAGCTAACAAAGGCCACCAACCTCACTCCAGCAGACCTTCCGAGACCAGCCTGAGTAATCCCAGAAAAAGGCACTTGAAACACTTGACAAGGAGTGATACCAACACACTGAGAGCTGGTCTGTCTTGCACAAGTCTTTACCACAGTTCAAATAAACTGTGTATTCATTCTTTTTCTCCCCCACTACAGGTAGTACATTCTGTCTGTGTTGATATATACAGATACATCTATGTGTATGTATATATAGCAACACTGACACATTTCTAGAGGAAAAACCCAATTGTTTGATAGTACCCAGAAGTTCTAATAACTTTATTTAGAAGAAGATGGATGAACCACTGCAAAAAAGCACCTACTAAACCTTTCTATGCACCAAAAAGGGGAGAGGCAATAAAATAAATACCTGGATCTTCCTCAGGCAGTTAACTATTAAAATAATAAATTCTAGTATTTAAAAAAACTTATTCCATTGCAGGGCACAGGCAGACATTTTTGGTACTCTAAATCTCACAGGCTCACACATCCATATTGCTTAGGTTGAAGAGAATGGATGAGAGGGAATTTCCTTTCACTGCTCATCATGTTTTATCTAGCTTGTATTATTCATCTTCGTTTAAAATACAAACTAAGTCTTACATATCAACATTTTTAAGATGCTGACATCCCCAAGGTATTTGCAGAGTACTTTATTTTTTTTTATTTATTATTATTATTTATTTATTTATTTTGGTTTTTCAAGACAGGGTTTCTCTGTACAGCTTTGGAGCCTATCCTGGCACTCCCTCTGTAGACCAGGCTGGCCTCGAACTCACAGAGATCCTCCTGCCTCTGCCTCCCAAGTGCTGGGATTAAAGGCATGTGCCACTAACGCCCGGCTTGCAGAGTACTTTTAAGTACTCAGTCTGTTATGGAAACAAGACTTTTGTATCCACCCATTACCGCATGTGAAGCCAACGAAAGGCTTGCTTCTTGCCAGGAACAGGTGCACATATTTTTAGGATGGAAAAACAAAAACAAAAAAAAAACCAAAAAAAACCAAAAACCATTTAGTGATGTCATTTAAAGTGTAGTTTCAGCTGCAGAATGCCTTAGAACAAATAGTAATTTCTTAAGAGCCAGATCCCACGCATTTCTGTTTTTTAGCTGCTGGCTCCTCAGGCTCGTGTGAGTCTAAAGTGCTTGCACAAGACTTGAGACTGGGGTCTGCTCGAAGGCTGTCTGAGACAACAGTGAAGCCAGACAGAAGGAATCCTCCACCTCCACTCATCAGCAATTTGGGATGACTTCGATCTGGCAAAACCTAGCCAAGACAGGAAAAAAAACGGACATTCATGTCTTTCTGCATTCTTACAAACTATGTCAACAACATAACAAAAGTCAGACTTTTAGTGACAAGTTCTCCTGATTTAAAATCACTAACTTTTAATAAGACCACTTCTTTACAGCACATTGCAGAAGAAAGTATAAAAACAAAGAACTATTTATTTTAAACAAAACATAACTGAAGCCCTGCTTCTCTTAAATTGAATGCCAGTGAGAGGGGGGAGGGTGAATGGTTTCTTAATAACTCTGGCTCTAGGAAGCTTCATGGCCAACAATGGGGTGTGGGGTATATGAAGAATATGGAGAAGCAACACTGGATGAACACTTCTCTGCAGTTAACCCAGCAAAGGCTCTTCTTACTTGTTATTTTTGCAACACGACACAGCAGTATTACTTTGGACTCAGCAGCATCCTCACTGTGGTAGGTATGGATGCCAACCAGCAGGACAGGCGGGGGACATGTCAACACAGAAGTGCCCCCTCCAACCTCCCTTCCCGAAAGAACTGGCTACGAGGCATTCAGGCACAGGCAGCAAAAAGTCTCCAGCTACTGTGACTTAAGGATCTGCTGCAGGGATCATAATTGAGACCAAACTGAGCCCAGACACAAGATCAGACCACTCCTACTCAGTCTAGGAGGTTCCTTCATGAGTAGTTTACTCCCAGCTCCCCACTGGCCTGCCTGACACTTTCTCAGAGTACTGATGTAGGCTATTACTTTCCTGTTGTAAGTACTGACCTATAGAATTCCATACCCCCCAATATACATATATATTAAAGGTCCCTTTGCCCTAATAAATCTCTTATAGAACTTCTACCTTGGCATGTATCTGCCCAAGGGTATGGCTCAGTGGCAGAGTACTTGGCCAGCATCCTGAGATCCTGGTTCTGATATCTAACACTGCCAGAGAGGAGGCAGGTGAGGGAGAGAATAAACATGAATACACCTCAGTGTTTTGTATTCCGGAATGACACACCACCAGCAAACCCTGAACTGGCTGGGAAGATATTGCAGCAGAGGACAGGGTCACTTCATTTTCAGTTATCCAAGTCTATAGATAGCCAAGTCTTGAGGGTAGTATAACTAATTATTTGCATTTTAAATAACTCTGGACTAGCTGGGCATGGTGGTGAATGTCTTTCGGAAGCAGAGACAGGCAGATCTCTGTGAGTTTGAGGCCAGCCTTGTCTACAAATGGAGTTGCAGGACAGCTAAGGCTATACAGAGAAACCCTGTCTCAAAAACCCAAACAAACACCGCCCCCCACAAAACCAAAACAAACAAACACCCCCAACTCCCTGGACTACAGTTACAGAACAGTGCACCCTGATATGAAAAGAAGGCCAGGAAGCCAGGGCATTTTTTCTGAGTGACAGGCAGACACTGTAAACAGTGGCCCTATTTAACAACTTGACAACCTGGCAGTATTCCTGCAAGGAGCCAGCAAGTCTGGAGAATGGCAGTGAGAATGCTTACCTGGTAATTTCTGAGCCAGGTTTCGGACAGTCTCAGGTTGATGACCCCTCCCCTCTCCCGAAGTTTTGTGTAGCATTCCAACAAAGGCTAAGGGCAAAACAGAATCCTGTTAAGATATTTCCTGACCTACAATAGGGGGATTAAAATTCAGATGTAGGAGCTTTGTCCAGTTTGTCTCAGCATTACCTCTTTATACTGACAGTAGACCACAAACGGCCTTGATGGGGCCACAAAGTCTAGCAAAGACAGTAGCAGTGGAGTGGGGTGGAAACGACTGGCCACGATCAAACTGCAAGGAAAACAGAGAGAATGTCTCTTTACACCTTCTAAATGGAACATGGATTTTATGTGTATTTAAAATGATCACATACAACCAGGCAAGGTTGTGCATAGCTAAAATTTTAATGCTCAGGTTCAAGAAGGAGGATTGCCACAAGTTTCAGGTTAGCTTGAACTGTACAGAGAGTAGGCCAGCCTGAGCTATTCAAGTACAACATTCTAGAACTTCAAAGCAGAATGAGATCATGAGCTATTTATTTCTAAGGAACTGGGTTGTAAGCTATATGTAGGATATTCTTGTGTTTTGCTTTTAGATCATCTGGAAGCAAATTCAATACTATACTTCCGAATCTACCTCCCAACAGGTGTTCTCTTTCTTTAAAGACTATTTTATTTTATTTTTTTCTGTGTGTGTTTGTGTGCCTGAAGAGGTCAAGAGTGTCAGATTCCCTGGGACTAAAGTTATAGACAGCTGTGAGCTGCCATTATGGGTGCTGGCTACTGAATACCAGTTCTCTGTAAGAGCAGCAAGCACTCTTTTTCCATATCTCTAGCCTCTAACAGGGGTTTTCATTAGCTTGGTTTTGGCCAGTATTACAGCCATCTTAATGCCCTACCCTTACACCTAATAGGACTATTCAGTCCTATATATTAGTCATTGCTGAATGTTCAGATTTCCTTGAAACTATCAAATTAGCACCACCAACTCCCCACTCTGCTATACTTGGCCTTTCTTTAAAAAGCAACCAACCAACTACTTATTAGTCTTAACACAAAAGTTATGATAATTTGCATCCTGGGCATGGATATGCTGTTAATGCATTTTCTAATACTCGTCTGATATAGGGGGCAACCATGTCATAGAATAAAGGGTTTCACATGTTAAGGAGAATTTTGGTAAAGGAAGCTTTTTAGCATTTCATGTGATAAAAATCCTGGGTTTTTTTTTAGCCAAATATTTTAATTCTGATGAAAGAACAATTTAGTCATTAGCCATTATTGCATTGTATTTCTGAGTAATATATCAAATTCATAAAATATCACAAAACCATTCATCACTACTATTTATTCTGGGCTATATTTTAATTGTTATTAAATTTTCATACATGCAAAATTTTCCCAGGGGAAAAAAGTTAGGATAATTTAACTAATTGATTTTTCAAATTATGAATGTGTATGACTGCATGTAGACATGTGTATTAGTGTGCAGGTATCCAAGGAGGCCACAGGTGTTGGATCTCCCCCAAACTGGAATTACTGGCAGTTTATGAGTTACTGGGCAAGGTGCTGGGAGCCTAACTCTGGTCCTTTGCAAGAACAGTGTGTGCTCTTAAATACTGAATCATCTCTCTGGCCCAGATCCAGTTTTTCTCAAATTAAAAAAAAAAAAAAAAAAAAAAAAAAAAAACAAAACAACCCACAACAACCAAAAGAAAAATCTTCATCTATTTTAGACAAGGACCAGGGCAGACAGTGGGAAGAAAACGCAGATGCTTTTGAAGAAGAATGCAGTAGCACCTGGAAGTGCCCCGTATCCTTCACCAACGTACCCATCTGCATTTCTTTCTCTCAGCAGAGCAGCAGCCTCTAAATGTCTTTTCCTCTGCTCTTCTTGTCTTCTTTGTTTTTCCTGAATCTGAACAGTAAGAAAACAATACACTGAGGTCATTCAGCCAGGTTTACAAAAATGCTGTGTCCTATCAGAGCAGAGTAGTGGTATTTAGGAAACAACAGAAGGGGGTAGTTTACAAGGAAGGCGAGGATACCCAGGAAGCCTATACTCAAATGCCAACCTTCAAGTTACCTGAGCACAGCTGAAACTGCAGCTGCTAAAGTCACCCAGAGCTCCAGCCCAAAGACCAAGCCACACAGCTGTGTACAAACACACCTACCTGGTTTCCCCCAGTTTTTTTTGACAGTTATCATCTGGGGACCTAATGTTTCACAGTTCATCAAATCTCACAACTTAAAAGGACTCACTGGGGCTCTGAAGCTATTACAAGGATACTGACTCTTAATATTCTTAAATATTCTTACATAGTCTCTTTTGTTTCCTTTTTCTTTAGGCTCTTTATTCTCTGGGTCCTGAGGAATAATTTCCATTGTTCTCTGTTCTTCTGGGTTGCTTTCTGGGGCTTCTGCCATGCTGTCCTCATCAGCTTGTTCAGATATCTGTCTTTCCTCATGTTCACCGTTACTTTCTTCAACCAGAGTGCTGTCCTTAGGCTCTGAGGACAGCATCTCAGCAGAAAATGTTCCATCTAGAAGACTGTTTACTTTGTTGAGGGGGAATTCATGAAGACCACTGAGGAAAGATTTGGGAAATCCAAAACAAGCTGTTGCTGCCCGAACAGGCCCATCTCCAGGGTACAGCTGAATAATGGAGCCAAAACCTGAACAGACAAAACAAACAAGTGGAGGGAATCTAGACTGCAAAACCCACATTCTTACATAATTATGATTCTTCTCCCATGTCTAGAGAGTGAAGAATGCTGCAGCCCATCTGGAGGTCCCTGAACACTATGAATATTCCACTCCCTAAAGAGAAAATAGAATTCCAAAGCAAATGGGGAGTCTTAAAGAAAGCTTATCTCCTCAGGACACTATAGGAGACCCAGTGGTCTCCTATAGTTTGGAGGTTAAGGATTTGGGACTGTTTGCTTTCTCCTTGTTCATCCCCATGGAGGGTAGATGCAAGCTCTCATCCTCCAGAGTCAGAGAAATCAGACAGGTCAGTTTGTGTATTCCAAGACAGAATACCCCGAGAAGCCTCCCTATTCGACCCCTCAGTGCCTGACAACGCAGTAAATCATTAGCCAGCTGCAGTTCCAGAATCAATCCCACAGAACACCAACACAGCCTTCCTGGGGAGAAATGGACCACACAGGAAGGCTCTGGGACAGGAGCCATAGAGGTCTACTGAGGTCATGTCCCTATTCTTTCTTCACATCAGCGTAGTTTACTGAATTTGAAAACATGGAGACTTACCTCCCATTCGTTCCATCATGGCACCTAGCACCAAGCCTGAACACGTTTCCATGACAATCATTTTATTGCCAGCACGGATATTTCCCAACGTCAACATCTGGGCTAGTGTATCATATCTCATGTGGCTAAGGAAAAAAAGGATGATCCACTTACTTTTAGTTAAATAAACCCTGACATTTAATAACAGTTTTTCTAGCTGTTTCATAAAAATTATGTTGGTAAGATTATTGTTTGCTTGAGGCGACAGTAAAAGGACTTACAATTTATGAGGAAGGAGGACACTTTATGCAGATGAGCAAGCTTTTCATTTTACTTAAAATCATGACTCTCTTAAAGACATATTTTCCCCCAATTATACTTTTGAAAGGAAACAAAGCGTACTTAATTTTTCCAGGTTCTCTTGCATAATACATAATTGAAAGAATACGGGTAGATGGCTTCAAAATAGTAACGATGGCTTCATATCTAGGGAAATTAAAAGGATAGCAATTTAGAACATCATCTTTTTAGCACTATTTACTTAGTAAATAGAAAAGATGTACTATTTTCAATCATTTCAAACAAAATGACTTACTTTTTCTTCTTCTTTTTAATATATTTATCTTGGGCAAATTCTGTCTTGTCTCGGAATGTTGTACTATTTTCAATTAGCTGCTGAACTATTTCCTGTAAGAAAAGGAGCAAGCAGATTCCCTGAAGCTTCACTGTCTTACCCTGCACCAGCCAAAGGTTTCATTGCCAGTCCCTCTTCCACGAAGTACGGGCGGAACAACTGCATTTCTACACTCTACTTAGGGTTTGCAATAAACACATTACAACTCCATTTAGACTTGTTTTTTCTGGTGTTAGGGATGGAACCCAGGGTCTTGTTCACACAATCCTTTAAACCAAGCTAAAGGAAGAGAGATAGCCAATAAAGGGAGATGAGAGATGAAGATCAGCCAAAATCAAAACAAACGAGCTGCAAGCTTCTCTTCCACTAAAAGTATAAGTAGAAGAGAAGCATAAGAAACAAAGTCCCCATGTGTTGGAGAGCACACACATTTTAACTGACTCCATTTAACCTCCAGGTCAGCATTGCAAACAGATTTGTTACACACAAACGAAGAGTAAGAATCCTTTTTTACCTCTCCTTTAATGCCCTTGTCTTTCAGAGCTTTTATATCATCCTGAGTAAGTTTCTGGGACTTTCCATCATCAACTATATTTCGATTATCAGTGCCGGCTTCTTTAGTCTCTAAGGAAAGAAATTGCTCTATGATAATTTTGATATAAAACTGTTACAAATTACATTTTAATTACTTAATTGTATGTGTATTTGTGTATGTGTGTGGACTCACAAATGGCATGGTTCGTGCTGGTATGAAAACATGGTTCTCCACTTCCACCATGTAGGTCTCAGGGATCAAACTGAACTTAAGTTGTCAGACTTGGTACTTTACCCACTAAGCCATGTTGCTTGCCTTGATTTGAAATTATTTTGCAATGTTTTCTAAAAAAATTTTTTTTAAAGAGCTGGGCATGGTGACACAGACCTTTATACCCAACAGTAGGGAGGCAGAGGCAGGAGGATCTCTGTGAGTTTGAGGTCAGTCTGGTCTACATCTATCTCAGGGACAGACAGGCTATGTAGACAGAACCTGTCTCAAAAAAGAAAAAAAAAGAAAGAAAGAAAAAAGATTTAATTCCATGTGTATGAGTGTTTTGCTTGCATGCATATATGTGTACCAGATGCACGCCTGGGTGCCTGAACTCAGAAAAAGGTATCAGATCCCTAGAACTGGAGTTACAGGGGGTTGTGAGCACCATGCTTGAGTGTTCAGAACTGAACCTGGGTTCTCTAAAAGAACAAGTGCTTAAACCTGCTGAGCCATCTTGCTAGCTCCTCAAAGTTTCTTTTTGAGGTAAGTTCTCATGTAGCATAGGCTGGCCTCAACTCACTGTATAGCTAAAAATGAAGCTGAAAACTCGGATCCTCCATGTCTCAAGTACTTTAATTCCTCACTCACGGAGTGCTGCAGATGAACGGGGCCTTATGTACACCATGTAAGCACACTACCAACTGAGCTAATATCTGCACCTGCAATCTTTCTTATCCAAAGTGCCTATTTACCCCCCCTCTATCAGCCCCTTAAGTCTGACCTTCACTTCTTAGGATCACCTCTTGTTTTAGCTGAGTTTCCCGGAAAGTGTCCAAATTACATGAAAGTCTGCCTAGCTAACTGCAGAATATCTATCTCATACATCTAAAATGGGTACCTGAGGTAGGCTCTTCCTTCTTCTTTTTGAGCTGAAGACTTCCTCCATTGCTTACTTCAAATGTTGACCCGTAACTATGACCGATGGCATTATCCAGGTAGAACCACTGTTTTTCAAAAGTTACTTTTCTGAGGAAGAAAAAGCAACCAATCAATTGACTTCTTTTGCATTCATGCTACAACAGGTGTACTCACTCTAGTTTATTTCAAAAACGTCTCATGATAAATAGTTAACAGCACTATTTTTGTGTACAAACTTGACAAAGAACTAGAGAGAACCAAGTTGAGGAGAGATACAAACATTAGTAAAGAAGCTAGGAAGACACTGACTTTTAGAGGAAAAAAGACATTCTTTTTATGGGACACAGGTCTGATTGCATTTTGCTTAAACTCACAGATTCTGCAGATTTCAACACAGTTATGACTGCCAAGATTCCCAGGCAATGAATATGCATTGTGACACCTCACACAACTCACACTAGAAAACTCCCAACAAAATAATCACTGAGATGACAACAATTTTCAAAAACTCCTTGGTCTCTGTCTAACTGGTTATTCTATTAGAAAAGTGGCAAATCCAAATAACCTGTATTAGAAATTAACATTATTGGAAATCCCCACATTTGAGATGGACCAAACACTGACAGGTACTGCTGAGGGCTGGGCATTAAGCTGTCCTGTCTCTCAGATCTGTACTTACTGCAGCTTCAAAGGGAATCACACAACAAAAACCCTTTCCCTTCAAAGAAACAAAATGAACACCTGCTGAGTAATAACAAATGTTAATCAGTGTGTGTACCCTTTCCATTCTCACAGCAATCCTGGGATGCCCTTTTCCAGGATAAAAATCTGGGGCTCTAGGTAAACTATACTGTTGAAGATGCTAAATCCCAGGCCAGATTTGCCTTAGCTACAGTGTGGAAGCTGTTCCTCTGAATTTCAATAGTCTCTCCAAATTGAAATATTTCCTCTAGGAGGGAAGGAGATACCAGCCAGGGGGGGTGGGCAAGCAAAAGGTCACACATCTGGAGAACAAAATCTTGTTACATTCTTGAGGGTCTCCTACCCAACAACATAAAAATGGCCTGCTGAAAGCCGGGCGTCACTTGAATCATATGACCAACCTTTGGTGGACTCTTAAAATGCTTCCAACAGAGAAAATTCTTAGCTGGATTTCCAGTAACCAACATATAACACTCAAAACGTCAGATTTGCACCCTCTTAAGCCCCTGGTGTTAATTAAGCACTGAAGCTGGCTTGATTTGTGCCTCCACCAGCCTATCTTACGTGCAAAGGCAAGGAGGTATGTACTCAAACTGACTGGCCTGAACGCTCAGTCAGGAAACTGTGGCAGGCAATCTGGTGGATAAGTGAGCTCTGTTTCCTGGGAAGGACTATGAAGAACGCTGGGACTGTTCCAGTGATAGGGAGTCTGGTTTGGAATGCAGCTGAATTCAGCAGGTCATTTTCTAAACAAAGCAAATATTACTATCATGGCTTTGCCAAGAAGAGGGGAGGATAGAAAGAGCTTCCAAATAATTTCTAAAGAATACTTTTTTAGGAGGCTGGAGAAATGAGCGAGCAATTGAGAGCACTTACTGCTCTTCCAAAGGACCAGACTTTGGTTCCCAGCATCCACATTAGGTGCTGGCTTACAATCATCTATAACTCCAATTCCAGGAAATACAAAGTTTCTGGTCTCCGAGGATACCCAATTTCATGTATACTCACACACACATTTTTTTTTTTTTTTTTAAAACAAGGTTTCTCTGTGTAGCCCTGGCTATCCTAGAACTTGCTCTGTAGACCAAACTGGCCTCAACTCAGGGATATGCATATGCCTTCCTCTGCCTCCTGAGTGCGGAGATTAAGGGTATGTGCCACCACCGGCAAAAAATAGTGTTAAAGAGTACTTCTTAAGAACTAAAGATACACCAGGTGGTGATGGCGCACACCTTTAATCCCAGCACTTGGGAGGCAGAGGCAGGCAGATGTCTGTGAGTTCGAGGCCAGCCTGGTCTCCAGAGCGAGTGCCAGGATAGGCTCCAAAGCTACACAGAGAAACCCTGTCTCGAAAAACAAAAAAAACAAAAACAAACAAACAAAAAAAAAAACCCCAAAAAACAAGCAAAAAAAAAAAAAAAAAAACCTAAAGATACTGTCTGTCTCACTGGTAATGGAAAGGATTTCTGAATATGAGGCAAACTGAGCACAGTGTAGCAGACTCGTAATCCCACCACTTGGGAAGCAGAAAAGTGTTTAAAGAAAAATATGCTTCACCTAGCCATCAGCATGGTTGGGCACACATGGCGTGCTCATCAAAACACGTGCTCACAACCTAGGAGCCTTGCTGCACTAAGTTATACTTCAGCTTAAAAGCTTAAATTAAAAATTGTCAATTTCTAAAACCTATGTACTTGGAAGTAGGCAAAGAATTTCTAATTTAAAATTCTGAAAAGGAAACGTAAAACACTACTTTCAAGAACACAAAAAATAAGAGCGGCAGTGAGGACAGCTGTAAGATTTCTCTAATTTCAACCACCGAGATAAAAAAGAAAATTTCCGCAATGGAGAATTCTAAAGTGATCAAAAGGTGGTGCAGATGTGATTCTAGACTGTTGTGTTTTAATCAAATTGCGCTTGTGCCAAGAAAGGTTGGCTACCAACTGGCTTGATGTACTGGACACGGCTGTCTGTCTAACTGGTTTTATTATTTTGAGACAGGGTCTCACACTGGCCAGACTGGCCTCAGAGTGTCCACGCACGACCTTGAACTTCTGATCCTCCTTTTTTCCACCTCCCAAGTACTGGGATTATAGGCCTACACCAACACAGTCCATTTATGTAATGCTGGGAACCAAACTGAGGGCTTGGAGCATAACAGACAAACACTCTAGCAACTGAGCTACATTCCCATCCCTTAACATTCTTACTGTTCCCTGCTTCATTTCAGATACCATTCAATGGTTTGAATCAAACAGCAGCAAAATTAACTTATGTGAAGTGAGTATCAGGAAAGGTTACAGATTTCATGATACCCAGTTTTCTGACCCACAGAAAGCTGTTCTCTTGACCTTGCATGATTTACTTCTTTTCAAGGAGTATTACAGGAATCAAAACGTGACTCAGTGGCAGAGTCCTTGTCTAGTATACACAGAGCCTCGCACAACGATCAAGCAAATAACAAAGCAGTATTACAAGTTTAAAAGAAAACTTCTTTGTATCAAACTATGCCAATAAATTCTAATGATGAACAAGCTACTAGGATTAAGTAACTTAATCAGCTCTATCAGAAAGTCACCAAGCTTAATTATGAGCTCTGAGCTCTTGAGTGAACTGTTTGTGAACTATTCTATTTTCCTGGACCTTTAATACCTCGATATAAAATGAAAGGCTCACAGTGATTGCACACCGTAGGAAGTTGCCTTTTCTTACTCATAGTAGACAGATTCCCCCCCTGAGGTTGACAGAAGAGGCCTGCCTACCTGAAAGCCAGACTAGGTGTTGGGAATCTTCGTTGTCTCTCCTCCCTCCTCTCTCTTGCGGAGGAAGTCGAATTTATGGGAAAGGTGGGGTGAGAGTCAGACATAATGAAGAGATCTCAATTGGAAAGGCTGGTGAAGTTCTGTGATAGAGAAGACCCTAAGAACCTAAGTGAAGCGTCCTCGGGGGCCGGAGTACCAAGCCTGGAATTCCTGGAAGGGAATCGGGCGCTGACGGTAGAAGGTTGAGGAATGAAAGGCAGAGGAGAGTGCTGTAGGATGAGAAAAGGGCAAAGGAGACCCTCTAGCCAAGGATGCGAAAGAATCCAAGAGGCAAAAGTTCTCTGTGATAGGGAGACCTGAGTGGTGGCAACAACGGCTGGGGGGCCCGATTCAAAGAACTAAGAGTGGGACACTGGAGGGGGTGCTTATCTAGGGGAAGGTGCGCGCCGCCCAGGGCCAGCAACTTGACTCACTTTCTCCGCTGCACTTGCACTGCTTTGAACACATCTTCCCGCTTCAGCACCACGAAGTCGCCGTCATGGATGCAGTGGTCCCCGGCATGCGGGAGCTGTGGACCTGGCTGCTCCGCTGATGCCTCCATGGACGCCAGGCCGTATCCAAGATCGGTTGCCGCTCCAGCCTCCAGCAGTACCACACGCCAGGAGGAACTTACCCCTCGGCCGGCACCGCCCCCACGTGCTGCGCGCCGCTTCCGCTTTCCGGTCCCCACCTCAGGGCGGCTTCCGGGAGCCTCGGGACTTCCGCCTATCTGAACTCTTTGATTGGCTACACGTCGTCCCGCCCTCCCGTCGCGTGGCTTCCTTAAGCGTCATAGACGCGCCAAAAAAGAACACAGGAGAAATTCGGGGTTTGCCTTGTGGTGTTGTGCTCGGCTCTCTCCGCCTGAGTCTCGCGTTCCGGGGCGCGGCGACCCTGGGACCCGGGTGTCCGCGTAGCCCTGCGTGGGAGTGCGCACCGCCTACGGCCCGGCCGCGAGCTGGGAGGACTCGGGCACTCCCGCAGTTAGGACGACGGGACGTGAGGGATTGCGGGTGGCTCTTTTCAGGCTTACTTCGCTATGTTGGAATTGCACCGTTCTCAGTACGTTAGTTACTCTGTTGGGTCGATGTGGAACGTAGTGTTGCGATGGAATGTCTCCTCTTGAGGGTCCTGAAGACTTGAGTTTTTATCTCAGTGCTATTACAGACAAACTTTTGTTTTAATTGGTTTGCTTATTTGCGCACCTTTTAGTTATTAACTCAATCTCCTTAAGAGTAGGTTCTCCTAATGAATTTCACCGCAGTGTATGAATTTGTCATTAGTAGTTTGTAGCTAGGGAATAGGAATTTTTAAGTGGAATTATTTTTCGTTAGAAAAGTTTTAGGGCAGCTTGCCACAGAAAAAAATACAAGAAAGATTGAACTATGATATTCCCCTAGTATCTATCATACAGGTGAGAGTTGAGTTCAGCTATTACTGCCTAATAATAGTCTTCAAACACTGCAAACAAGTTCAAGTTACTGTCTTTATTTCTCTCTTGGCGGTTCCTTGAAAACTGGTGCTGAATAAACGTCTATAGTGTACCTTGAGTCGTGATGGGAATTAAAAGAATAACTACACAATACATGAAGTTTATACAGTAGCCTGCAACTTTGCAAGCCTATGTGCTAGTCTCAAACACAATACATTAATTTCCTCCGTTTTACTACCTTAATACATTTTTTAGGGGTGCTATTGACTTTTAGAAGACATGAGTGGTGCATATAGAGGGAGAGGTTTTGGACGGGGAAGATTCCAAAGCTGGAAAAGAGGAAGAGGTGGGGAAAACTTCTCAGGAAGCTGGAGAGAAAGAGAGCACAGAGCTGACCTGAGTAAAGCCACAGGAAAGCACACTTCTGGTAAGTGCCTCCAATGACTAGTTTGTTGTCTCTCTGGAAAGAAATAACCAAAGGGCCAGTAGATGGCTGAGTAGGTAAGGGTAACTGCCACCAAGCCTGATGACCCTCATTTAGGTCCCTAGGAACCGGAACCCGTATGATGGTAGGAGAGAACTGACTCTTGCAAGCTGTCATCTGACTTCTATATGCGCACAGTGGCATGCGTGGGTGCACACATGGACACAAACAGCATTCATAGACAAATGTAAAAAAGGCAATTCACGCACAGTAGACAGGAGGATGTAATTCTTATTGAAATATCCAATTTAGAATCTATAGATAGACTCCTGTAGAAGGAGAGACTGGGGGAAGACAGTGCTCTGTTTTTTACTAACATAATATTCTGCTTTTTCAGAACAAACATCACAGCCTTTACTTCTACAGTCAACGTTGGATCAGTTTATACCGTATAAGGGCTGGAAGCTTTACTTCTCTGAAGGTAGAGTTAAAGAGTTTAAAAATACCAGGAGTGCATGTTCATCTCTGGATACTGCATTTCATGTTACCATGATTCTGTTGAATATCTGATATCTGCCTTTTGCTCTTCCAAACATTTGTTAGGAGCATTATTTTTATGTATGTATCAGGAAAACAGAAACTGGTGAGTGTTTCAAAAAGGAGTTTAATACAAAGAATTAGATATGTATATGGAAGACTCCAGAAGCAGAAAGGGAATGATGAGGTAATGTCCTGGAAAGTAGTGATTTCCGGACACAGCAGTCTGATCCTTATGGCCAAGGGAAAACAAAAATCAAGGCATTCCAAAGTTGTCAGAAATTGGGAGGTCAAAGGTGGAGTCACAGAAAGGTGTTGCTTTAATCTCAGAGCACCCTCCAAAGCTGTGCTTTGAGACTTTGAAAGGCACCCAACTTTGTGCTCAGAACACATGAATGAAGCTGGTTGTTCCTGGTAACTGAGGGCTTATCAGATGTTACTTGGATCCTGGAGCTGGGAACTATAGCTGTCCTGTGCAGTAGCAGAGATGCTGAAAGAACTGGTACAGAGCCTGCAGAGGTAGCTCAGAAGTTAGGCATGCTCAATGTTCTTCTAGAGAGTCTTAGCTTGGTTCCCAGAAGGAAGCTCCTTGGAAACCCTCATTTGGCCTCTGCAGACGCCTATATATGTGACATACTTAGCACAGACACACACACAAGTAAATCTTTAAAAAAAATGAATAAAAACAAGAATAGTTTCTTTCATACTTCTTGCCACCTTCCAGTCCTTACAGTGTCTCTAGTTGGCTGAACCTTAAGATTGTCTGGGAACTTGGGACCAGATGTCAATCAGTGTCACAGTAGGAAACAGAGTAATAAGCTTGGAACCAAGAGTTAAATGCCACTTCAGGTTTTTGTAGAAAAGAATACCATCTCCCATTAGACATTTTTGTGAACCGTGGAAATGTTGCTCTTCTGTCTGCTTATGGTATCTACATGTTTACTGTATCTCTTATGAAGTGTGGTTTTTGTAATTGTATGCCCCTCCCCCTTCTATAATATATTGCTTGTGGTCAAAATCTTGTCATGTGAAAGACTTCCAGTATTCATTCTGTGATTGAATTCTTTCCCCTCCCTATTAACTTGGTAGATGTGTTTCACAGAAGATCCTTTATTCCTTTAGGATGTAGTAACTACTCTCTAGCAGTTAGCTCAGAGAACTGTAAGTGACCTTTAGATTACTAAAGATGGAATTCAGGGACACCTTAAAATTGACCCAGCTGCATTTCACTAGGTTGTTTCTGTGAGAGAGAAATTTAAAGATATTATAAATCTTAGTAAAAATATTTTAAAAAGGTAGTATTACAATTTTGAGATTACAGTTAAGCTTTGGTCTATCTCCAGATCTTTGGAAATAATTTGGCAAGTGGCAGTATGAACAAGTAGAATGTACTTTGCAAAGATAGTGATTATGTTTAGCTCTGCTGTTCATGTGCATGGCTTTGTACTTTATAATGTTTAGTTTAAGCTTATTGTGTAAGATATTTGAATTGATATACCCTTTGAGGAGTCTAAAACTCAGTAGAAAGTTTCTCAGATATTTGGGCTTTTATAGATATTTCAGGTTATTCAGACATCAGTTTTTGTTTTTGTTTTTTAAGAATCTCAAGTATTCATTCATTTATCAAGTATTCATTACATTTATCCAAATAAATGTATCACAATACAAACTAAGGGGGGAAATTTATGGTTTCTAGGGATCTGTCTCGGGAAAATATAAATGCTGCCATCTGTGACTATTGGTACTAATGCTGTATTTGTTGGATTAGTTTACAGTAATAGCTCTCCTTTTATTGAGAAAATTCAAGCATTTGAGAAGTTTTTCACAAGACACATTGACTTTTATGATAAGGTGAGTGCTTCCAACAACACTGGCGGTCTGTCTTTATGTGACCACTAACTGGCTCTACCATTCACCTGCAGTGTGGACCCAAGTGAATTATATTCTCTCTACTTTAGCTTTCTCATCCTTGGAGATATTACTATTAATACAAATTTCAAGAGTTTGTTAAATATATGTATGTAAAAATTATAACATTACAGTTGTGTAATAAAATTAGAATTATCACTTTGTGACTATTCCATGCTTTCTCAGAGTACATACTAAATGGTCATTTGCGACAATTGACTCAAAAAAGCTGTAGCATGAATAATATAAGCCCAGAGACAGATCAGAAAAGCAAAGCAACCAGCCAGTAGAGTTTTCTCACCTCTACCAGTGCTCAGATTGAAAGGCCGATCCACTGAACCTCAGATTGCATCTCCAGACTGCACTGCTCCTCAGACTCACTCAGACTGCAATGAGATCCTGTTTTCCCTGCCATATATTCCTCTCTAGTGCTGGGATTAAAGGCATGCACCACCAACACCACCACCAACACCCAGCTTCTCTGGTTAACTAGTTTGGCTGCTGGGATTAAAGGTGTGTGCCACCACTTCCTGGCCTGTATGACTGACTAGTGTGGCTAACTTTGCATTCTGATCTCTAGACAAACTTTTTTAGATCATAAACAATATATCACCACAAAAAGCAATTGTTATATTTCAATTTTAATCTTTTATAGGATGAAATAGAAAGAAAGGGAAGCATTTTGGTGGATTTTAAAGAACTGACAAAAGATGATGAAATAACTAACTTGATACCAGATATAGAAAATACACTAAGAGATACCCCTGAGAAAACCTTGGCATGTATGGGTCTCGCAATACATCAGGTAAATTTGGCCAGTGTTTTAAATGGAGATACCATAGTATCAGTAATTTTTAAAAGGTGCTTAGCTTTTAATAACAGAAGTTGGTTAGAATTTAAGGATTGCAGACTTCCCCTAAGAGATAACAAGTTCAGCCTACATGCAATTTATGTGAATCAGTTTAATCTCATTAAAGATATAGAAGTCATACTTCCTTTTGGAGGAAGTATCTTACTTCATAGGAAAAATAAAACAAGCATGATGTCAGGAACTTGGAACAAAAGGACTGACCTCAGATGTCGTTTCTTTGGCATCAGAAAAATCACTTATTTCTCCAAGGGTCCCATGTGTAAACTGGGAGTAACAATTGTTCTGTGCTTGTGTCAGTTTTTCTCAGGGACAGATGACACAGCACCTGAAAGCACCCGTAAGTGCTTCCAGGTAAAGGGAAGCAGATCCCAGGACAGGCATTGATAAGTGCCGGGTGGAACCCA